CCTTGGACACCCACCCACAAGAGATGGGATCTCAAGGTCGGAATGTATCTGTCCAGAGTTTGATGCCCTTTCTAAACCAAAAAAACACCATGTTTTAGACAGGCGAAAGAGACATTTTCGTCTGAACGATGTCTTATATCAAACGGCTTTGAACATTAGCATTGAATTTCAAAACTAATTGAGAACTTCAATTTTTCGATGTGTCATCTGATTGTAGATTTTAAATTACCTTTGCTAGTATTGACAAGCAAACCTTTATTTTACAAAAAAGCTGAAGGAGTTTACAGACTGGATCATTCTCCTTTGCCAGCTGTGAGCTCGGCTGCTAACATCACCTCCAAACCGCAAATCAACTTACCTTGAATACATCAAATTTGAAAGCAATAATTGCTATATTGTATCGGCAATAATACAACATTTCATGAGTCAGAGCGAGTAATGCTGTAATCCGTGTAAGTAATCAATATCTAAGTTGGGAAAGCGTGCATGTTACAAGTAGTAATCAGATTTGAAAGCTATTGGTCTAACTGAGTCAGTTATTGCTTACAGAGAGGAAAAATAGTGCGGATTACAAAAGTAATAATAATATTTTATGATAGGACCAAAAATTCCAAAGATCAGTAATCGGGTATTGAACGCCCATAAAAATACCAGCCGGTGAATGCAATGGGTTTGCTGTGGACCTTGCATAGGGTAAGCTTTGACTCGAATAGTCTACATTCACAATACACAAGGGATAACTCCACACGTGTTCACCTTGCAGCGGGTTAGAGAATTCCCTATCATGAAACATACTACTGATTTGCTCGAATTTTAATCCAATAGTGACATATGTTTGAGGCTAAGTTTTTGTGCTTATACACAATACACCTATTACACTATGCTCAATGATAAAGCTATATGTGTGAGGCTAACAGCCCACGAGTCCGCGGACCTCTCCGTTACATACTTTATCAGTGCCAGTATTTTAGTGCATCTGATTTCTGCACAAAAGTGTAATGTGCACGTGCAACATGATACGGTATGCACCTCGGTATACCTTCCGCAAGATCAAACTGAAGATCATATTTATCTTGACTTTTGCAGGTATTGCGCGAAATTAGCGCTCAAAGAGCACCTGCTGCCTTTAGAGTTTTACCCTACCACTTGCACAAGACGATCCTGTCCTTACTATCCATATTCGCATAGAAATCCTGCCCCTAGTCTTTATATGAGCGCAGTCTTTGCGGCTGACAATCTCAAAGCCGAAGTCGGCGGAAAGGTCGATGTGTTCTCTGGTTAGAACGGTCGTAGCGACTCTGCGGGGCCCAGCCTTCCGCCTTCGGTCTCACCAAAGAGCATACGGCAAAGCATTCAGCCTAGAATAGCCGCTCTCTACACTTCGTTCCTACTCTACATCTATAGCGCATTCCGAGCTCGTTGTCTAAAGGCAAAAAGTGCTACAACATCCCGCCGCAATAATCACGACGACGACCCGCCTGGATATCAACCTAAGAGCTGGATCTGACTTAGCAGATTAAGATTTTCTTTCAGCAAGCACAAAAGTCGCAAGAAAATTTGCAGGCTTAAACACGTCGTAAATATAAGCTGTTCACTGCGCCAAGACGTAGCCTTAGCGCACTTTTCCATGCGAGCATCTTGCTCAAAGAGCAAAATGAGCGCACGAAGGCGCCTCGCGATGCCTCCTGGCTCCCTAAAGCATCACTCTTTAAGATAACCATTGACGCTTGGAGCAGCGGCGATAGGGTAAATGCTTAACCTTTTAAGGAATGTACTTCGGATATTCAGATCTGGCAAGAGTCCCGAAAGCATACTTATTCGTGCAATGGTTGAGTAAGGCACGTAGCCTCACCCGTCTTACATCTTTACAAGCTCCAGCTTTAGTGAAGCAGACGTCCAACCGAAAGGACTCTTAATGCCCGACTTTGCTATACACAAAGACTGAAGGTGTATGATCATCACTTCAAGTCCTTACTACCTATCTGCTCCACATGGAATTGGTCCACCCGCTACTCATGGAGCAGCGCCGGCGAATAATGACTTAATCGCGGCTGGATCTCGTGATTCATCTGGCGGTACGTCAATCTTTACCACGAGTCTCGACAAGTAGTCAATATTGGAACCTTTTTCCAGATACGCTCTTAGAGATATATCCTCACACGACCCGGTTAGAGGCATTCCATGCGGTTTAGACTCGTATCTTCTCCTAAGTGCAGAATAAAGATTTGCTTCATGTGGACTAAGACGTTACTCTACCTTTAACAGAGTGGTTAGCATTTGAATAAATCTCAATAGCGGGTCATAGTATGGGTTTAACAAATCCAAACACAATCAGGATGCTTTCATACTTTCGTTACGATGTTTAGTGTGTCGATCGATCCCCTCCTGTATATGACGGTGAGTGGTCCGATATGGAGTGATTGAAGATTAACCTTCAAAGCTGTACAAGCTACATGTGCAAATTGATATAGTGCATTCAAAAATCGCTCTATATTCACCACATACTTACATGAGTTTTGTCTGCATATAGGATGCTCCCACACGTTTTGTTTCTTAGTCATAGCGTCGCAAGCGTAGTTTATGACGGTAAAGCTCATCGTGATAAAGTTTTTAGATGTGCTACCAAGTTTGGCCGAGCCGATATCAGCAAGTTAGATAGAATCTGTAGCCCCCATATGGACCAGAGTCATTTCGTGGTGGCATCAAAGTCACCCGGGGATTTATCAGGTCACTAATGTTATGCAAAGTAAACCCTGTAGAATCATTAAAGCTTTATTCAGCGCTGACCCATTATATAGCACTATTTTGCATTAACCCGCGTGATGCCGTATTGCAAAGCTTCAAAAAGTTTAACCCCCATCACGTGATTAACGCGATCCGTCCATCCGTCTGTCTGCGGACTGTCAGCAGTTGACATGCTCAATCTGGATTCCAAACATCTTGAATAGCATTTATCTAGATCTGGCTAAAGTGTATCTTAATTCGCAACAACGGTCGTCGGCAAGCCAGGTTGGCGGAATTTTGCCAGACATAGCCAAGCTATTACGTTACGGTCGTCGTTTTCGCTGCCAATAGCAAGAACAGGCATCATGCGTAATCAGCTCACAACAACCACAACACCAGAATTATTAGACGCCTTATCCAGATTATCAACATCAAATCCATAATTAAGGGCTGTTCGCATTCTACCAAATCTGGCATGCTGGCCAAAGGCGCCAATGCATGCGGCGAGTGAATCCGCTGCCACATTTCACACATGCAAATATGCTAACCCATAAATATGTGTTGGGCAACCAGTATGGTTTGTTTTTTGTTTCCGAGGTAGCAACCCAAGCGATGCCGTGTCTCATACAGTATCATGTCCTTGAGATTCCCATCATGAGATGTTGACACGTGTTGACTGTCGCGTGGATCAATGATGAAATACACGAAGCCTTGGAACAAGGAATATAAGTGCAAAAGCCCAGAAAACTTCTCCAAAAAGTCTCTGAGCTTCTGAGCTCAAAATTAACATGCTTCCCAAACCTTCCAGTATCATGATATGCGACCGTTTTAAAGACGACCCGAAAGCTCAACAGCCGCAACAATAAGCCGACCAGGCTTATAATCTGCTGAGAATATCCAGAAAAGACCATAATTTTGCCATTTTCTGCGTGAGATGTAGCAGCGATGTCTTCGTGCCTGACGAAGCGTAATTTGTACTGATGATCAGTGGGCTTAAGCCTTCCATGCATGTTTTTGTAAGTTTGACAGAGACATACTCTATAGCAAGTGGATATTTGAGATGAACAAGTACTTCATCTATACGACTTTATGCTGTCTAAGCACAAGTGCAATGATACGTTAATGTCCATCGACATCTGCTTAGGTTTGATGCAGCCCATCACAAATTTTAAACATCACAGACGACTTGAAGTAATTGATTCGGTTCGAAAGGACAGGAATAGAGACATTTGCGGGCATTCTTTCCCGCTTTAATGACCGCCTTGTCTGCCATATGCCAGTACCATTCAAGAAAGCTTGGTGAGGGGCCTTGCCACGCCAGAATGACTTACAGAATAATAATGCAAATGGTCGGCCGAAACATCTACTTTCTTTGAGTTCTTTAAGGAGTCAGGTGTCGAAGCTCTCCATTTAGGTTCCCACAGAACCTGTGATTACAATGCGAAACAAGAAGAGCGACATCATCCAGTTTACATAGGATTTACTTTTGCGGGATCTGCCAACAAACCATACTTTTCAATGAAACATCTTGAGAAGTGGTCTCCATCAGCACCAAAGCACACATTAATCAATAATTATGGTCTGGAGATTAACATTAAACGCTTGCGTGAAGTGCTCGGCTGTGTGTGTTGAACACACAGTAAATTGTTGGAAAAGATCTGGGCGTATGCACGATGCAGCATATACAGCTGCATCACCAAAATGTCAACCGTCGCTGTTGCGGTAGAGAGCTTTTGGGACCTAAATTAGCCCTTCATCGCGCATTTCCTCAAAATACATACTGCAGTGCGACGAAAATCACTACATCTCTATCAATATGTCATACACATCATCCAAGACAAGTGCGCTAGACTCGGGACGATTGACCATACTGCTTTGCGGCCAGTCGTCTCAAAAAGGTTTGTAATTGTTCGGAATCGTGGCTACATTGAGCTTCTGTAACCTTGTAAAATTCGTCAACACTGTCAGCCTTCCCGGCGTAAAAAGTCAGCAACGAGTGAGATGTACTTTATCTCGCTAGATTTGCTTTGTCCTTTGCTTAAAAAAGCATCTAGACGTCACAACCCTTCATTGGTAGGCGACATCGTATTATTTGATTTCAAAAACCTAGCCAACTTAAAACGCGCTCCTCCATTCAGGTAGAATGTGTATGGTGCGTTATTTGTCACCACGTCATAATATTTTTCCAGCAAAAAATAAAAAATTAGTCGGATCCTTAACAATAGCCATTCCACCCCTCGTACCGAGTGCTTTACGATTATCCTACTTATTCTGGGCGAATTTTATGCTAGACTTCTCCGGTACTAACCGTACCATTTTGTTGCTCTCAACGTTTTGCGACAGTTTACAAACATCCCCTTCAAATTAAATTTCAAGCTCAATGAAAGCTCCAGGTTGATTTATGAGGGAGACTTGCAGCCCAAAGGCAACACCGTTCACTCCATTCACGGTTTATAATCATTCCCGCTTCTTGCTCGCTGAGATTCACTGCTACACACGGTGGACACGTCACACCATAGTTCTAACTCAGTAGTATCGTTATACCATGGTGAGTACGAAGAGTTTTAAGTCACTTCAGAGCATACACCGTCTACTTTTGACCACAGTCACCCATCTCCTACGGCTCTGGCACAAGAGATAGCAACGCTCAGTCGGTTCTATTTTTCACCCGCTCCGAAAAAGGTACAACAGCTCTTAGCCGTTTTTTTCTGTCTTACTAGAGATACCTTTTGCTTGATATGACATGTGGTCTTCCCTTTGAATCCTGAAATCGTGATCTACTGCTGCTTTCTGCATTCCGAACTCTTCCGAGGGCCCTTCGCAATAGCACAGTTCAACAGCTCGGATAAGTTCATGCCCTCCAGCGAAATTATCGCAGGATTGTGCTCGCTTTAGAAGATCTTCTGCTGCCAGCGGAGGTGGTTTCATGACTCGCCAGAGCTCTATCAGGAAAGAAGTGCATAACTCCTAACTTTCCTCAAATTTTGGTCGATCCTTGGCTTGTAGAATTATAGCGTACGTCAATTTATATCTGAGACGCTAGAATCGTAAACACTGTCAAAGTCCTCAGCCTTCACTTGAATATTAAACATAGCCTCATATTGTCGGCAATCATGTGTATTCAGTGGCAATAAACTCAACCGTGAGTGACGTTCTCCACACTAATTGCGAGAACAATGTAGGAACGGGGACATACTTATTTGGACTATTGCCCTTCGACTCATTTCAAGGTTTAGAGCATTGTGATCAAGTACAAAGGTAAGGGACAGTGATGTAGTACTAAATGAGCTATCATAGTGATGGAAGCCCAAAGAGGACTGCTAGCCTCACGCATTGCATAAATCAGGTTGTCATTGTTATCGTTGATGAAATTCGTGATCAACTTTAATATTACTTCTAAATATACGACAATATAATCTAAGTTTACATTGAAATGTAAACATGAGAGAGTCTTGGTATCGCACCCTAGGAGCGGTCTTTGAGCTAATCCTTTATGCGCCTGATTCTTTCAAGTTTTCAGTAAACAAATGCTGAGAAAGGATTTGAATGAATGTGAGCATGAACGTGCATGACAAACCGATTACTTTATTCCCAGTTTGGGAAATAACGAGAAGTGTAATCTAGCCTAACCAGCAGTAGCCTTTTCGCGACCGCACGTTGGACAAGCAAGAAATTCATTATGTCTGTTGCTCAAGCATCCATCGTGAAAATTTTGACCACATAGTAGAACCGAGGACGACTCAACAGCTGCAATCTGAGACCACCGATCTCCCTCCACCGCTGCCTCTCGCTCCTTTTGATTGAGACCATCCAACGGATGGTTACATACAGCACAAATGTCTGTTTTGATGCCAGGATTGACAGATTCTGTCTTGTCAAAGTTTGTGGATATCTCCAAGTCAAAATCTCCATTATGCCATTTTTGTAAATGTTGTCGTAGCCATTCAGGAACATTCCCATGCCTGTCGAAATCAACTTCTTGTTGACCTCCTACAATAAATTCAAGAAGCTCGAGTGCAACTCCTTGCATCACTAGTGGACAGACGTGATTGCTTCTTTTCATCAAAAAGCTGCGAATTGTCGCTAAACTCCGTGTTAATGTCTTTTGTCGTCGGTTTACAACTTTTGATAATGTGCCTCCAACCAATTGAGATTTTGGGTAGTAGCTTTTTAAAAACGTGAATAACCACGGACACTCAGCATGACAAAAGTGGCCACGGCGCAAAATTGCGGTAAGACGCTTACGAAAGTAGCGAAATTCGTCAAAGGTGCGCACCAAGTGCCAGGTGGAAGATTCAGCCAAATCGTGGCTTTCACACACAACGGTAAGTAAATAGTCGACTCGATGAGAATTTCGAGGCCTGGAAACCAAAGATGTTACACCCATCGAAATTCCGTCGAGCCACGCTACTTGAGGTGGTAACAGTCCAACAGGTAGCGACCGCTTCTTACGTAGTCGTTTAGTGTTCATTTTGATATAAATTGATCCTCGATGTCGCCTGCAATAGTCAAATTAAAAATCTCTTGTATTCAGATTGCCAACTTCATCACAAACGGTCAAAATGCATGGTTGTCTTATGCAAGAGATTCTAAAATTAGTTGCTTATGATGAAAGCCCTTGACTCTGTAACAGTCTTCTATAAAATAGCGTTACTCAAGTTCGAAGAACTAATAGCAGCGTAAGGAATAAGTACGTGGAGTAAGTAAACTGATTTATGATGCTCAGTCCCACGTCACAGCTTTTGACCACATGTTGGACATGCCAGCGTCTCATTGAGTTTTACCACGACGCATTCATCGTGAAATCGGTGACCGCAACTTAACGTCGTAAATGTCATGTTGACATCGTCGTCGCTGTCGCACAATCCGCAGATGATGAGCATGTTCTTACTACTGGAAGAATTCGTAGTTGATTCGATGCTTTTATCACTACTTCTTTGCCAGAGGTCAGTCGGGGTACCATAGCTGCTGTCTGTGCTGGACGACATTGAAAAGCTTCGAGGCTCTTTATCCTTAGCCAAGAAATTTTCGAAGTGATACTCGTGCTTGAATGGCAATCGTTTATTTAGAAAACCAATGAATTTTTCTGCCACGGCACCAGGCAAAATACTGCAAGGATTGTCACGTTTGCGAAGGGCGACCAAAAGGGTATCAAAAAACTCTTGAAGGGCTTGTTGGCGCTTTCTTACGACGTACGAGCTGGTCGAGTAGAGATAACACTCTTTTGGAAAGCGGTCTTTAATACTTGAATAAAGGTACGGACACTCGCCGTGGCACAAGTGACCAAGTTGTAAAAGCTCGAGTAGATCTCGTTGGAAAATCTGTAACTCTTGAAAAGATTGACTGATGGTCCATTGCCGGCTGCTGTCGCTTGCAGGGGTAATTACCAAGTTATAATCGACGTCTTTACCATAATCAAGCACAATTTTTGAAGCCTTCACGACTATCTCCAATTGCTCCAGATATGCAACAGTTGGAGGACAGAGCGATGTCGGAGATGCGACTGGACTTTTGGCGGGTGTTCCTGATAGACCTGCTACGGTAGCACGTCGATGACGACGGGAACGGGAACCAGATGATTGTAACAACATTGTTATTGTGGTGAGAATTGGGTACTGATAACCTGCAAAGCAAAAGAAAGATGTAGAGTACTGTGCATTTTAAATGTCGTCTGCTCGTTTGCTGGATAATTTGTGCAATAATTATTGTGACTTATATGCAGCCACGCGTTCAATATATTTCAAAAACAGGGTAGTAGTCACGTTTAAAGACAAGAATTGGTAATGAAATTGAATTATCACCTAATTGACCTAGATCACAAAATCTGCAATCTATTACCGATCAGATTGAAACTGTGTAAACCTCGAACCTTGATATACTACTACCAACGCTGCTTCCCAGATTTGAGCGAAAACGTTAAGTCAACAACCATTGCATCTTTCTAGTAGCGTCTAGTGGGCTGCGCTCACTCCTAAGGAGGCCGTCACTATCACAAATATCTTGAAAAGATGGAAGACGTAGGACTGGACCGCAAACTAGTGATCATTGGCCCCACAGACGTGGGTAAGACGTCCATTACTATGCGTTACTGTCATGGCAGCTTTTCGACGCCCACATCTGCTACGATTGGGGCCTCATTCTTGCAGAAGCGCGTAATTGTTGGAGATGATACTGGCGCACGGAGGAAATTAACTCTTCAAATTTGGGACACAGCTGGCCAGGAGCGCTTTCGGTCCATGGCGCCGATGTATTACCGTAACGCTAAAGCGGCTATTCTGGTGTTTGACCTTCAGAACGAGGCCAGCTTTGAAAAGATTAAAGAGTGGCTTCAAGGTATGGTACAGTGTTGAGTGAGTATTTTGAAAGACTGACGCTTATTATTATTATTGTAATGAACAGACCTACAACATCATGTGGGTGATGACATAGTACTAGCAGTAGTAGGCAATAAGAGCGACGTCCCGTCCGATTTTGATTTTTCAAAAGCTCAGCAGTTTGCAGATGAAATTGGTGCGCTGGTCTTTCGTACTAGTGCCAAAACGGGCAAAGGGATACAGTCGCTTTTTGAAAGTTTGGCGGTGCAGCTTTTGAAAAAACATGATCAAGACCAACGAAATCGAGGTCGGGATGTACACAGAGCAGGAAGCACGACAAGCACGGGGTCTTACGACTACGGGGGTCAAAATAGTATCATTTTGAATCAAACTAATACCTCAGGACACAAGGCATCTAAAGGTGGCTGCTGTTGATTCATGAGCTGAGTTTCTGGATGTAAGTACGTACATACTGCATAGAGCGACGTGAAAGGAAGGAGTGAATATTTTAGTATTGCATTATCACAACGATCAGGACGAAGAGTTGTATGTCTTCACAATGCTGGGGGATGATAACGATTTCTTTATTTGATTTCTATACCAGAGAACCGCCGATCGGATTCATTGTAGACATAACGAAAGATTGACAAGTGACTTAGACCATACACGAAAGATTTAAGGCCCTTGATCTTACACACAACTAGCAGATTTAACAAACATGAGAATCGCCAACTTATTCATTGTCGTTGCATTACTTTCTATGCTTGACTCCACAAACAAAGTAAGTGTCGAGGAAAAAGATAAGGGCAATCTGACCGTGCCATTGTAACTCTCTTCAAATACCTGCACGTAATTAACTCGTCTTGTGCTGTTTAAACACGTAACTTATGGCTGACTCGAATTGGCGAGCAATGTGTTGATCTTGTCGATCTTGGTGGCAAGCGATAGATCAATGAAGTAGTTACCGATCTGCACCTTAAGACCGCCCAAAATCTCTGGATCCACAACTGTTTCCACCAACAACTTCTCGTTCTTTTCCACACGAGCGCCGAGGGCTTTCTTTACCTGGTCCAGCTGGGCTTTAGTCAGCGGATCAGCCGACGTAACCTTAGCCTGTACTTCACCGCGATAGGCACCCATGAGTTTTTTAAAAGCAGCAATGACACCCACGGTGTCCGGCAGTCGGCCGTTTTCAGCAAGCACCTCAAAGAGACCAGCAACGGGTTTGGAAAACTTGGCTTTTTCCATAACTTTGGAAATATCCTCTTTTTTCGAAGCACGAGCGATTGTAGGATCACGCAAGAATGAGGCAAAATTAGGTTCCTTAGCGATGGTCTCCTCAAGAGTCAAAAGCTCCTTTTCAACAGATTCAAGCTGGTTTTGCTTGGCAGCCACACTGTATAGGGCATTCGCATAGCGGGCGTGTAGACCGAAGAGTTGCAGCTGCGGCTGCGTCATTTTGCCGAAGCCACCAATCTCCTCAACTTCCTTCATGGATGGGGCAACAGCCGCTAAACCACGCGTCAGTGCAGGAGCTGCCGCAGTCTTGTTCACTGTGCATTTAATGGTCGAGGAAAGCATCCTGTCAGGCAGCAGACGCAACAAAATCATTTAAAATCAGTCGAAGATAGTTGCATTGAGTATTTTAAACACCGCGCACAGCAATCCTCGCTCCATTGCAAAGAGGGAGATGAAAACGCGCGTGAGACGATGGGTCTATCCTTACCTTAGTCACGGGTGTTTTTAATCTCGCATGTACGGCCTCGAACGAGTATATAGTGATACTTAACGATTACTTTTTGATACGCCCTAAATCTATTTTTGCTCCATACAATTTTTATGATTCCAAAAAAGAAAAATCAAACTAATACGTCATTGCAAACGATACCGCGCATATCGTACAAAGAAAATTTTGACTAGCAGAGAGTATGCTCTATCGTTGCAAAAAAGAAGGGCTCAAAGGGCTCACCAGTCACCACTAGAGCCTCAAGCCTATCAAACTCTTCTTTGATCAACCTCAACAATACTATTCCTGGTAATGCACATGTGTACAATGCATCGCGATCCCGCGAAGCTATAGCCTTATCCGTAGCGAGAAATTTCTTGCTACTTTTGAGCTTAGCGCAAAGTCTGAGATAACAGGTAATTTGTACGTGCACCATAGTATGGCGCGCGCACAGTACACCCTCCCCATTCAAATGGGATCGTGTCGAGTTGTACGAGCCCTCACCCCGGTGAATCACCGCTGATAGCTGAGTAAGCACCAGTGGGAAAAAATATGGGATAGACAATTCTATGGTGTCTAGCTTTGACGAATGTGGCAAAGACCTCATCACTCAATTTGAGCAGTAAGCGACAACGAGACGCCGTTTTCCATTTCACGGCTCGAAAAGTCAGCAAGACAGACGCCAGACTATAACATTGCTTAACGCCTTATTGCAAAGTACGAAGCGAGACGTCGATGTTGAAGCGGGGACCCGCCTTCACCTCCTGGTACAGCTACCGGTCAAGATTCGAGCTTGAAACGAGTACGTGCCTCATAACAGTATTTTTCAGACAGAGAATGAACCAGGCATGAGCAGTGATTTCCGTAGACACTCTGTGTTGGGTGTTTGGGTTTCCAGTGTATGATCTCGTGGAGACGAGCTAGAGTTAGTTAGTGCTGCAGCCTCGAGGGAATACTTCAGCATTGTGAGTCGCGAAGGAAGAGCTAGGCCCTGATGATATTAAAGTTGATTTATCCATGTCACGGTACAACGATACAACTGAGTCCGAAACATCGTGCGGCCAACCCACCGGATATAGCAGTAAAGATTCACTGTATTTTGGTGGGCCCGTGTACAGCGGAGCTGCCGTAGCTTTGCGCTTTGAGGAAGCGTTAGTTAGGCCACCGATCTTTCGTTCTATACTTAGAACAAGTACGAGATAGCAA